TATATATATACAATGAAGTATTACTCGGCAATCAAAAAGAATGAAATCTTGCCATTTGCAACTACGTGGATGGAACTGGAGGGTATTATACTAAGTGAAATTAGTCAAAGACAAATATGACTTCACTCATATGAGGACTTTAAGAGACAAAACAGATGAACCTAAGGGAAGGGAAACAAAAATAAAAACAGGGAGGGGGACAAAACAGAAGAGACTCATAAATACGGAGAACAAACTGAGGGTTACTGGAGGGGTCACAGGAGGGGGATGGGCTAAATGGGGAAGGGGCACTAAGGAATCTACTCCTGAAATCATTGTTGCACTATATGCTAATCTGGATGTAAATTTTAAAAAATAAAAAATAAAATAAAATTTAAAAATGCCAATGCTTTGGGGAGCCTGGGTGGCTCAGTCAGTTGAGGGACCAACCCTTGCTTTCATCTCAGGTCATGTGTCTCCTGGATTGTGTGCTGGAGCCTCCACGTAGGCCTCTGCACCGACAGTGGGGAGCCTGCTTAGGATTCTCTCTCACCCCCTCTCTACCCCTCCCCCACTCATGCTGGCTCTCTCTCAAAATAAATAAATAAACCTTAAAAAAATGTCAAGAGGTGCCTGGGTGGCTCAATCAGTTAAATGTCTGGCTCTTGGTTTCGGTTCAAGTCCTGATCTCACTCTTCGGGAGTTCGAGCCCCACGTGAAGCACTGCACTGACAGTGCAGAGCCTGCTTGAAATTCACTGTCCTTCCCCTGCTCTCTCTCAAAAATAAATAAAATAAAAACTTTAAAAATTTTTTTTTAAATAAGAACTTTCCCTTTTCACTTTATTAGGATACAAGGAAAAGTTGTATTAAAAATTTTAATTTAACTGTCCTAAAGGTCTAGATGTTCAGGACAGGAAATATTTCAAAGCAAACTCATGCTGTTTCATTTTTATACTCTCTCTTTGGCTTCCTCATCCACCTGGTCAACATAAATATTTCATAAATTAGTTCAAGTAAACCTCTGTGAACTTCAGGGGGAAAATACACTGGATATAAGTGAAAAAAGTAATTTATAGAACTAATTTGATTGCCATTGTGAAAAAGCAGCCAATGTATCTAGCTGCATGAGAATATTTTATAAATAATAGAAAGAAAGGACACCTGGGTGGCTCAGTCGGTTGAGCGTCCAACTTCAGCTCAGGTCATGATCTCACAGCTTGTTGAGTTTGAGCCCCGTGTTGGGCTCTGTGCTGACAGCTCAGAGCCTGGAGCCTACTTCAGATTCTGTGTCTCCCTCTCTCTCTGCCCCTAACCCACTTGCATTCTGTCTCTGTCTCTCTCAAAAATAAATAAACATTAAAAAAAATTTTTAATAAATAACAGAACAAGACTGAGGGCAGGGATGGAGGGATATGATGGACCACCTTCACTTTTAAGACATATTCTAGGTTAACAATCACATCTGTGTAGATTGATGATTTCTCCTTTCTTTCCTATTTTTATACATCTTTTTTTCTCTATTTGAATTGGCTAGAACTGCTGGAATGATGCTAATAATAATGACAACAACTGTTACTCCTGTTAAATGAGAATTGCTTACTGTCAACAGTAGGAATAATGCAAACTTTTTATAAGACATATTTCCTATCATGTTAAGAAGTATCAAGTAATTCCTATTAAGAGTTGTTTAGGGGCACCTGGGTGGCTCAGTCGGTCGAGTGTCCGACTTGTGCTAAGGTCATGATGAGCCCTGCGTTGGGCTCTGTGCTGACAGCTCAGAGCCTGGAGCCTGCTTCGGATTCTGTGTCTCCTCCTTCCTCTGCCCCTCCCCTGCTCATGCTCTGTCTCTCAAAAATAAACATTAAAAAACAAATAAAGAGTTGTTTCTTTTTTAAAATAAACTCAGAACTGATCGTTAATTTTACCAAATTCTTTTTCAGCTTCTCAAGAGAAAATCATTTTTCTCTTTTATACTTTTAAAAACACGGCACTTAGTATTTCTCATTAGTGATGTATTTAGTATTTCCTGATTTCCTGACACTTCATCCTGGGATGAAGGCAACCTGGTCATCAAGTATTATTCTTTTCATGCGTCACTAAATCACACTTGCTAATTTTTAGGATTTTTGTAATTTGAGACTGGTCTAGTGTTTAGTTTTTGTGTGCTTTTTCAGAATTTGGTATCAAAATAATATTTCAAAAAATAACTTAGCAAATCTCTTTTCCTATGTACCAGAACAAGTTAAAAAGCACTGCAGTTATGTTTCTTAGAAGGATGCCTGGGCCTCGTGCTTTTTTGTGTAGATCAGGTTTTCATACTTACCTGCACGCAATTTAGCAATAGGACCACTTACATTTAATTTCCTAAATATCCGTGATGCATTCTCTGACTCTGCGTCTGTTCATACACAGGTGACTCGTGCTTTCTCCCTTTGCTCATGATTAGGCTCAATGGGGGTTTATCTGTTTAAAACTGTTACCAACATCTTAAAAGAAAGGTTCAAATCTCTTAGATTTATTAATACCTCCAAGTATGTTTTCTAAATCCATCAATTTCTGCTTTTATATTTGCTAATACCTCCTTTCTGCTTTCTTTCCATTTTATTATTATTATTTTGTAACTTCTTGGGATGAATTCTTCTCCTCTATCATTCTTTTC